CAAGTGACTCAGCCCATTCAGAGAAAGTCCCTGAGAAAAATGACATGTTCAATTATCAGTGTTCTTTCCTCGAGTATGGCATGCTAATTTTGAATTTCTTTCATGCCATCAAAGAGGGTGATGGTCAACGTACTTTCAGATGCTGGAAGTTTCAATTGCCTTACCTTAGGAATGACCCGGGAAGTACAAAGTATGCCCTTGAAGCCCTGGGGATGATTTTTCAAGTTTATGCACTGCTTCCACCAAAACATACCCATGACCTTGTTTGGAACAGAACTGCATTGCTTAAGTCAGGTTTGGGACATAACATTCCCCTTGATTTACTCCTTGAGTTTTTCAATCGACTACTGAAAGAAGTCAGGAAAAAGTTGGGTCCTAATGCAACCAATCACAAGGCTATAGATCGCTACTGTCATGCAATTGATTTCACTAAAGCATTACTTGACAACTTTAATCAAGAGTGTTGTGTCATCCGCCGTTCTGGACACCACTATGAACTCTCCGTGGTGTCTGACTTACGCAAGATTGTTACAGAGCTCATCACTCAGAGGGCTTTCTGTTGGACACCAGGGCGTGCCTATGAACACTTTAATGGTATTAATTCCACCCTCCTGTCAGACTTTGATCTTCAAGACATGTTCAGGTAGATAACCAAACACAAGAAAAACATTGTCAGAGAAAGAAGAGCACGCTAGAATGATGTTTTAGGACAGAAAGGTCAATCCAGTATTTAAATTCATATGTAACCTTCAAGAGTGAAATTTTAGATCAAATTTGGACACATTTGGTCGAAAAAGTACTGAAACCGGTCAGATAGGTAGTGATGAAAAGTTTCACACCAGCATTTATAGTAAATTGTGCACAAATGAAATCCCTCATTGCAACCTCAGATCAATTTCTAAGTTCCATGTGATTGTTTCCCGTTTATTTTTCTTAACTTTTCTTAGTATTTTCCATGAACTGTGATAAGAGTTGTAATAAAGAGGGCTTTTTATTTCACTGACATCACCTTAGGGGCCGACCATTTAACTCTTGAGGAGGTGGGGGGGGGTGGGTGATTTTGAAAAAAAATTTCCTGCAAGCGCTTGTCGGAAGAAAAAAATTGCATGCAGCAGAAATGTAATAGAGAGCTTTTGGGAAAAAAGGGAAAAAATATCCTGCCCACCATAATGCTAGAAAAAAAAATTCATGATGTCCAGAAATTACCCACCCCCACCCTCAACAGTTAAATGGTCGGCCCCTTAATTAATCTAAATGAGTAGGAACCACAACAGAAGACCTGCTTCACAGAAAATAATCACTTGATGAAAGTTATTTTTTCAATGTATGTATGAATGAAACTCTTACTTAAAATTTTGGCTTTTTACAAATAACTGAAAGATGCCTATGAAGCTTTATAGATTGGCTTCTTAGCATTTCTATTAAGCGACATGACCACGAAATATTGAAGACATTTTGCATCCATCACTTACAAGGTACACGAAAGATGATAATTTATTACATTTATAAATGTAATTATACAGGAAAAGCTTCTAAAACCAATCAGGTGAAGATGAAAATTTCATGAACAGATGTTACCAAGGACTTAACCATCCCAAAGATAGTCTAAGTTAATGAGGCAATTGCCATTCATCCTCAGAGACTCAGAGACAACACTAGCATGGGATGTTATTGTTTCAAAGATAACATGAATTGGATTGTACTTGTGCAATTACTCAGGGCAGTCACTAACATTTGAAGCAGACATGACTTTTAAAAATTCAAAAAAAACAATTTGCAATTAGGTGCCCCTTGGTCTCTAATGATGTTTACAATTATCTACTGTTTAAAAAGATTGGCAATCACACTGCTCATGTTTACTTCCTCATTACCTGACTGATCAATGTCTTCCATATGAACATCTACATTAAGTAAGTCACTTTCACTTAACAGCTGACACAGTTCAGAGTCATCTCTGATGTCTGCCCATTCTTGTGCAAATTCCTCTATGTCCTCGTCTTCACTCTCTGGTGCCTCCAATTCGCTGCTGTGTACATCACCAAAGACCTGGTGAATTGCACTTAAAATTGCTCGGCTGTATTCTCTTCTCCAAACTTCAACAAAAGTTTCTACATGTTGTAGTGTCTTAATTTTGTCACAATTATCCAGAACTTGCTTAATTTGCAGTGGGGTGAATTCATGCATCATATTTACAGAAGCCACAGCCCCTGAAGAATTTTGAAGAAGCAGGTTTTTCATGTACTTGAACAGTTCCGTCCTGAGGTGTACCTTGTCATTTTCTTCAACTGAACGAACAGATTCAGAAGAAAGGTTTTCATCTTCGGTAGCATCCAGAACTAGTATAGCAGGTTCCTGGCAAATTTCTTGTTGACATCCACATGCTTTAGCACATATGTCACAGCACTGGTGACCAGACACAGAAGAAGTAAATTTCCCTGGAAAATGACTGTATAGATAAGTACGCCTACAGTCAGTACTATTAGCAACAAAATCCTTGATGTCATGCATGCAATGTGCCCCAAGCAGCCCATTGTGCAGCAAAAGGCATGAACTTGGCTGTCCATCTCTACCAGCCCTTCCACATTCTTGGACATAACATTCAAGGTTTTTAGAAGGGCCAAAATGTATGACACGGTGAACTTCTTTGCAATCAACCCCCATTCCAAACGCAACAGTACAGGCTACTATTCGAATGTGGCCATTGGGTTGAGACATGTTACAAAGAATGTG